TGGGCGGGGCTTCGATGCCCCAGGATCTCGTTTCCCTACGGAAACTGGCCGGGATTAACGGGGAGGGGCGGGAGGGGGGTCTCAGCCTCCCCGGGCACGCTCAGCCCCCCCCATCCCCTCACCCCCACCTCAAGGGCCCCTCCCATGGCAAGTGGGAGGCGCTGGGGTGAGGGGGTGGAACTGGGGGTGCTGGGACAACTGGGGGCACTGGCTGGGAGGGATGGTGGGACTGGGGGAACTGGGGGGAGCTTGTAACATGGGGGTGCTCTGGCTGTATGAGTGGGGGGCTCAGAACCGGTGTGAGGGGCCTGGGGGAGCAGGGCTGGAGACCCCCCCCCATCTTTGGGGTCCAGCTGGCCCCCAGCCCCTCTTCCTTGTGGGGGTCCTGGCCCCAAGAGGTTCGCCTCCTGTCCACGCCAATCCCAGCACACCTCACCCCGGTTCGGGGGGGCCCTGCTCCTGCCCCCCCATCAGAGATGCCGACACACATTTGGAGCTGAGCTGTTTATTGGGGTATGGGGGGACCAGAGACCCATAGACCCACACATTGGGATGGAGCAGGGGGGCAGGGATGACCCCCCGTGGGGACTGAGGGGTGCAGAGACCCCAGTGGGGACAGGGACAGAGGATGTGCTGGGGGGCCGAGCCAGGGTATTTACAAGCAGCAGCTGGGACCTGTGGGGGGGGTGGTCACAGGGCCCAGGGGGTCGTGGGGGGGGCCCGAGGAAGTCCCCAGGGGGTGTCCTGGGGTCTCGTCACTTCTGCAGCCGCTTGATGCGGGCATCGATGTCGGCAAAGTTGTCCTCGACGATGGCCAGGTTGTCCTTCATCGTCTTCTGCACCTGGGGGAGCAAGTGGGGATGGGGTGATGGGGGGCAGGTGAGGACCCTGGGGCCAGGGGTGAGTGGGGGGCCAGGGGGACCCACCTCAGCCAACAGCACCGCGTTGTCCTTGAGAGCCCCCGCGATCTCCTGCTGCGTCGTGTCCAGGTGCACCAGCACCTGCCCGAACTGGGTGGCTGGAGGGGGACACACCTGAGTGCTGGGTAGGGCAGTGACTCCCAGTGGGTGTCCCTGAGCCCCCCCCGCCCTCACCTTGCTCGTGCAGGTCCCGCAGGGTCACCAGGCGCTGCACCACGTCGGGCAGGGCACTGGCCACAGCGTCCCAGCTCTGCAGCGTCTCGTACAGCTGGTGGATCTGGGGGGCAGCAGGGGGGCAGCAGATGGGGGGGTCAGCGCAGCCTGGGGGGATTGTTTTGGATCCCCCCGTGGCCTCTGGGCCCCACAGCCCATACCTTGCTCTGGGTGTCAGCGTCCTGCACTGTGGCCTTGTGCTTGGCGATCTCGTTCACCTTCCCAAGGACGCTCTGGTGTGGGGGAAGAAAGAGACCCCAAATCCAGCAGTGGGCCCCCAAATCCAGTAGTGTTCCCAATTTCAGCAGTGTCCCCCAATTTCAGCAGTGCCCCCCCAGTGCCTCTCACCTGCAGCCGAGCCTCCACCTGGTCCAGCACAGCCACATCCAGAACATTCACCTTGGCCTGCAACACCTGCACCGTGTCCTGGGGAGGGGGGACAGGTGAGGAACAGTGCTGGGGGCGGGGGAGGGGTGCTCCCAAACCCCCCTTGCCCAACTCACCATGAGGCTGGAGCCCTTCAGCCCCACCAGTAGTGGGTTCTGTGGGGAGAAACAGTGTCAGGGGGGCAGGAGAAGGCAGATAAAGGATGGGGCAGGAGGGAGGCAGGGCAGCCCCCTCACCTGGGAGCTCACCTGGCTGTCAGGCTCACACCTCATGGCCGCCTCCAGCTGTGCCAGACGTTTCTCCAGCTCTGACACCTGTGGGGTTTGGGGTGAGGTGCTGGGACTGCAGTGTGGGGCCGGGTCCCAGGTGTGCTGCTCCCTCACAGGATGCCCCTGGGGGCAGCAGCCCCCCACTCACCTTGGCAGACTGGGCAAACTGGTCCTGCTCTGGCCTCCAGTAGAGCTCGAAGGTGACGGCATCGCCGGCAGGGACAGGGCCCCGCGCAGGGCCCTTCCCCGGAGTGCTTTTGCTGCACTTGGCCACCTCCAGCTGCTGCAGCAGCCGCCTGGGGACAGGCAGGAGGGGACAAGCTGGGCAGGATCCCTGTCTCAGCCCCACAGGGACGCTGCCACACCCCACTAGGGTCCTGTCCCCCACTCACTTGGCCAGGGCACCCTCAGGGTCAGCGAAGTCGACGGCGGCACCAGGGCCCAGCACCTTCTCCAGGTGGGAGCTGAGCAGCTGCTGCTTCAGCACCTCCACCTGCCTGGCCAGGGCCATGGGCGTGAGCTCCTCCTCAGCCCCCGACTCCTTCACCGAACTCTGGGGGGACACACAGGGCCCGTGTCACCCCAGGACACACTCTGGGACAGGTGGGAGCTCACCTGGGGCAGGGGGCTGCTCACCTGCACACCCAGGTGCTCTGTCAACCTCAAGCCCTGCCCCAGGACAAGAGGGAGCTCACCTGGATCTGCTCCACATCCCGGAGCAGCTCCTGCACCTCGTGCTGCAACCGCTGGAATCGCTGCTGTGGCGTCTCCTTGGCACCAAGACCCTCACCCAGCTGTGGGAGAAATGTGTCAGGTGGCTCATGGGGGGGGCTCACACGGGGTCAGGGCAGCTCATGGGATGTTGAAGGGGTCATGGTGCTTCAGGGGTCTCAAAGGGGATCAGGCGTCTCATGGGGTGCTCAGAGATCTCACAGGGGGTCAGGGACCTCACTGAGTTCAGGGGTCTCAGACAGCTCAGGGGTCTCATGGGGGCTCGGGGTTCACAGGTGCTGGCAGCACCTGGCACCAAGCAGAAGGAGCAGGTGAGCCCTGCAGGGACAGGTCAGAGCAGCCTCAAGTGACAGAACCTCAGGTGGCACCTAAAGAGAACCTGATGGGGTCAATGGGGCAGGGCAGGAGCAACCCAGGAGAGTCCTGAACCCACAGGGAAAGGGGCTGCACTGGATCTCATCTTCCTCCTAATGGAGCTCCCCATCTCTATCCTCACGAAGCTCATCTTCACCCCCATGGAGCTCTTGGGCTGGCATGAAGGGAGATGGCCTGGCCTGATGAGCCAGTGACCAGACCTGGGGACACAGGTGTCACCCCCCCCTCCAAGCAGTCCAAGAAGGAGCCAGGTGACCCTCAGTCACCTTCTCCCCTTTGACCCTGGGTGACAGGGATTGCAGCCCACCCTGAGCCCCCTGTGAGGGTCCTGAGGAACCAGAGGAACCAGTACAGCCTGGGGAATTGTGGTGACTGAACTTCACAGGCTCAGTGAGGGGACAGGCAGGACCCTGCTTGGTGAGAACAGACCCCAGCACCAGGACCGGGGAGGGGTACCCAGGAAAGTCCTGGGGATCCTGGGGGACATCCAGCTGAACTTGAGCCAGCCAGAACCATCCTGGGAACCCCAGGCCCACCCCCAGATCCATCCTGGGACCTCAGCTCCATCCAGGACTTGCTGACCAGTGCTCCCTTGAGCACCCTCAGGGACCCGTGGTTGGGACAGGGACTCCCAGCACGGCAGACTGGGATGGACTGGGCAGACCAGCATGGTGCTGCCATGGTGCTGGTGGAGCTGGCACATGGCTCCTGTGAGGCATGGCTGGGGGCTGCAGCAGGTGACCCCGGGGGTCCCATGGGACCTGAGGCACACAGGGGTGTCCCTGGCAGTCCCAGGGAGGAGGGGGTGCCCCTTGCCCACTCACCATCTCATACTCTCCAGCCTCGTAACCTGTCGTCCGTGTCCGGCCGATGCGGTCAGAGAAATCTGCACGAGGGAGAGCCGAGACCCAGCAAATCATGGGGGGCTCAGCCCTTTGGGGGTCCCCTGGCCCATCCTCAGCCTGCCCACCCCCTCTGAGCCCCCCAGCTCACCCACACCCTCGGTGCCCAGGCGCTTGTCCCGGAACTTCTCGTAGGCAGCGTTGGGGTTGATGATCAGGTGCTCCACGCTGGTGCTGCTCAGCTCCTCCTGCACACGGAGCCACGTCAGGGACAGGGACAGGCACACGGCGCTCCCCAGACTGCCACCACCACCCCCAGCACACACAGGGATGGGGATGAGGGGCCCCAGGGCTGCCACCTCCCCCAGCACACGGCGTGGGCAGGGATGGTGGGGTGCTGGCCTGGTCCTCCCCAGGACACAGGCACAGGCCCCCAGTACAGCACCCAGTGAGAGCTCTGCTGGCAGTGATGTGGCATGTCCCCAAGAGTCCAGGGTGGGGACATCACACCCCCACACTGGCCTGGTCCCATGGGGAGGTACCCTCAAGAGTCCAGAGTGGGGACGTTGGACCCCTGGCCCAGTGTGGGGACACCAGACCCTGGCTTGGCCCAGCATGGTGACACTGGACCGTGGTCCAGCCCGGCCCAGCAGGCAGGGGTCCCCCAGGGGCCATGTCAGGACTCTGGACCCCTGGCCTGGCCCAGCCCAGCTCAGGGACTCCCGAAGTTCAACCTACCCCAAACTGTGGAACATTCCAGCAGCCCCTGGGAAGGACCAGGACCCACCGCTGGTCTCTCCAGGGTGACCCCTGTCCCCGTGGGACTGTCACTGTCCCCGAGGTGTGTTTTGGCAGGACAACCTCCTCCCAGGGAGACCCCCGGCCCCCTGGGGCTGTCACTGCCCTCTGGCTGCCTTTCA